TTCTTTGTAGATCAACTCCCCGTTCGGTTACTTTTATCATAGAAAAGAAACAGAAACAAAAAAGCTGGTTGTTCTAGTCAACACATTATTATAACTTTTTTTAACGTAGAATAGGGGTGACTTATCTTGCTGCTGTATCATAAGTGTCAAAGAACAGTAAGTAGTAGCGTTTTCTTCTATCTTCTAAAATAGTCTTACGTAAAGGTAAAAATCTTCTCTCACGTATTCGCAAAAAAAAATTAATGTATGATAAATTGCTAATTTTGCATGATGAGTTTTTGAAGTATAAAAACGATGCAAATTAAATGTGTTCGCTGTAGTCGGAACTGCAATTTAAGACTACATACAGCTCGAACGATTCGATAATTGTAGAACTGTTTGAGACAGAAAACGATCAAGCCAAAAATTTTAGTTTTAGTAGAGTTTTATTCGTCATTTTGTTTTTATAGAGAACCTTAGCTACTCAGTTGAACTTGTAAACGTCTGATGCTGCGATAACGGATGATGCGCTTTCTTTCATTTTTATGACAGAGATCGACTCGGTTCAACTTTAATATCAGACAAGACTTTTTAATGAAAAAGAGAACATTCAACTCGTTCGAACGTTTTTAATAGGGTGAGGTTAGCAAGAAAATATTTTGATCGTCAACACACATTTCTAAAATACAATCTTAGAAAATACTCTCTTATACACAGGCCGTGATCCTTTTTACAGTCTACACTCTGGGAAAAACGACTTCTTCAGAAAACTGTAACGATGTTGCTCATTTATCTCAAATAGGGATCTAATCAGAGCTCTGCGGGAGGGTCCTTCCACATAGGTCCGCCCGCTTTATACAGTGCATCTTATCGCGAAATTTCACTTTGCCCATCGTGTAGAGCATCAAAAATAACCTACAGACCTCGCTTACGCTTTTCTGAAAGACGTGTGGAAAATGGTTTTCTAGACACCTCAAGTTTTTGGTGAGGATGAAACCGAAATCGGTGAAAATGAACGAAACATTGCATAATTATACATCAAATTGTAGCTCTTGACGAGTTAATTCTAATGGTGAAGGAATTCGGTCGCGATCTAACTTTACATTCGAGTGGTACTCAATTTACTTGAAAAATTCCTGAAGTTCGACCTCGGTTTTCTCCTAAATGCTCCCAAAAGTTTTCGAGACTTTTTCAGGATAAAAACTACTTAGTAGGATCTATACCTTTGTCCAGACAACTATCCTCGGCATTTTTTACCCTCAGTTTTATAGAAAACTCGTTAAAATCTTACTTCATGAAAAGAAAATTGAGCTATTATGACTCTATATTTCTGTTTAGTATGAAGAATTCAATGTATTTAAACGTTTTCTGAGGCTTCTTTGTGTTTCTGTACCACAGTTTTCTAAGAGGATTTCTGTAAAACTGAGGATAAAAAATATCGAGGATAGTTGTCTGGACAAAGTTATAGATCCTACTAAGTATTTTCTATCCTGGAAAAGTCTCGAAAACTTTCGGGAACATTTAGGAGAAAACTGAGGTCGAACTTCGGGAATTTTTCAAGTAAATTGAGTACCACTCGAATGTAAAGTTAGATCGCGACCGAAGTCCTTCACCATTAGAACCAACTCGTCAACAGCTACAATTTGATGTATAATTATGCAATGTTTCGTTCATTTTCACCGATTTCGGTTTCACCCTCACCAAAAACTCGAGGTGTCTAGAAAACCATTTTCCACACGTCTTTTCAGAAAAGCGTAAACGAGGTCTGTAGGTTATTTTTGATCCTTTACACGATGGACAAAGTGAAATTTCGCGGTAAGATGCACTGTATAAAGCGGGTGGACCTATGTGGAAGCACTCGGGACCAAAAAGGTTTGATTCCGGTCTCGTGGAAAGAACATATTTTTGGCCCGCTCTCATGGTCTGGTAAATAATTTTTCAAAGTAACGCCGGTAGTTTGAAAGTCAGCGCGTTGCAATGTGGGGCGTGGGTGGTATTAATTGAGAACTTTTAGAATTTTGTGTGAGTTTTTTCTCGCAGAACTAGTGCTTGCATACAAACAAGCAGCGAAACTAAGAAATTTATATAGCCTATACCAAGCTGTTTTTAAAGAAAGCTTATTCCGGTCCCATGAAAAGCCGCGTGAGACCGCGACCATCCCGCAGACCTCTAGATCTGATGTAAGTTTTCTGAAAATTTCCGAGACTGATTTTTTATTTTCTGAAACAACAGAAATTCAGTTTTCATTTTTTTAGATCCCTATTTGGGATATTTGTTTTCCAGAAAACATCAGTCCAAAAACACGTTTCTGTTCTTCGTTTTTTCAAAAAAACTGCATCTGCATCCTACTTTTCGCCAGCCAACTTCTTTTTAATCAGCACTATACCTGTGATCATCTATCTCTTATACCGTATATAAATACTGCCAATTGAACACCTGGATAAGTGGAGAACTATGTACTTCACATCCTCCCTCTACCGAAATTTGGAATCTGATTCCACACGAGTTGAATCAAAATACCTTAGGTACTCGACAAAAACGGTGATCAATGTATGTAGATTGTTTTTTCAGAACCGAATAATAAAATCAATGAAAAGCTCATTTTCTATTAAAAAATGAAAATTAAGTTCTTCATGTCCCAAGAACTTAGATGAGATCTTCAACAAGTTCTCTGAAAACACGAAGAACACGTTCTTTTTAGAGTGTACCAGATGCATTACGAACAATTTTAGATAAATTCTTATATTCCCCCTAGTCCGCATGAGGCTTGAAATCGGCCCACCAAATTTTACCGCTTCAATTTGTAACTATCCGATATTTAGCCTAGTGTAATACACCGTTCGATGCACCTTGAAAAGGTGTACAATATATGTTAACAGGAAAGAACTTTTACATTGTTTTCTGCCTTAATAATTTTGCAAAAGATATGTAAGACATGTATTTTAAAGGTTTCCTTTGTTCGTCTTTAATGTTTGAACAGCTGATTTCATAGCACAGTTGATTTTGATTTCACATTTGTTTGTATATCTGAAATGTATAGATAAAAACAGTGACATGCTTGAAGTGAAGATAGAAAGGTAAAAAGTGGTGCTTTTCTGTATCGTAGTGTAAATAAAAGAGGAATTGCTACTTACGCAATTAAATTTAATCATGAGTAACTTTAACCGTCTCTATCGAAAAAAGGATCATGATAGCGGCACTTGTATATGACTGCTCAATTGCAATAACTAATCAGCCGAACGTTGTTTTACCTACTGAACAATTTTTCTGGCATTACTATACTCTTTTACGGATTAATAAATAATTAAGTAATAATAATTTTTCTATTAAAAATGACTACGCAGAGTTACGAGAATAAAATGAAGGTGAAAAGATTTGTGGTGATCTGAGAAAAAAACAAACTTGCTGCTAAATTTGTTAAAAGATGATAAGATATCGAATGAAATGTCTAGTCTTCGGAATCGTGACGCCGGGAAAAAAGTACAAGAAGGGTTCATTAGCAGCCGGTGTCAACAAATCTACTGATCAGATTAAAAAGTGTTACGATATTCAATTTAACGTTGCCAACACAAACATGAGTTTTCTCCTGCGCATTGAGTATTTATAGTTATGGCTATCACGATTATCTTTTTAATCGCGATTAGTGCAGTTACACACAATTCTGTTCATCGTGATTAATATCGTTAATCATAATCCAAAAAAATTGCGATTACACTAGAAAGTGTTTAATCGCGATTATCTTTTAATCATGATTAAAGGTAATCGGGATTATTTGCGTAGTATAACTGTAGTGCTACTCGATTATGTGTTCTTCCCGAAATTTCAAACAAATCATACAAAGCTATCCGACCTCTCCTTTTTTTTTGAGAAATGTTTGCTCTACATTCGTACCGAGACAGAAAATTTTTAACGAGGCAATTTACGAAATGCTAGGTTTGGAAAAAATATAAAATCCTTAGTCATTTACTCGGTGCATGCCTACTACTTTTACGTAGTGGATTTTGAGGGTATTCAAAACTCATTCAGCATTGTTTAAGGGTACTCCCCTCTTTTGGGGTATCGCGTAGAAATACAGTAAAATAAAAACTACAGGTCGCCAGGACTTCGTATTTTCAGAACTGTTCGAAAACTCAATGGAGCACTTTTTCGTTTTTGTTTCAAGTTTTCAGCTATTGTCGGTCACCAGTTCTTCGGAAAACTCGGTTTTTCTATGTGCCCCATTACGAACCTCCTTAAATTTCATCCGATCGAGTTCAAAATTTTACCATATTCTGCAGGAGTCAATTTTTGGAATTTTATTTTAGACTTTTCTTTACCGAGTTATATGAAAAATACTGAAAAACGTCTCAAAAACCAAGTTTTTCAGTTTTAGAAGCCCTAAAGGTCAGTACATCAACCAATAAGGAAAAGAGACCGACAAAACCCACGAAATACCATGTCGCTGCACGCTCTGCTGAAAATTCTCATTAGAAAGCCTGCGTACAGACACACAGACAACCATTTTGTAAGATCCTAGACTAAAGGCAAGGGAACAACTGCAGAGAAAAGTGGTTAATCTACATTTAGTAGTAACAAGAGATAATAAAATTATACGAATTGAGGAATGCGCTTCATTTTTTACATAATTTAAAGCGCGAAGTGAAATTTCATTTTGATGACATGTGATATTGAGATGCTAGGATGAAGAAGATCCGTATCTCATAATTCGTCATATCGATCTGTAGCTGTTCCGGTTATCGCTTTAGATTTGTATGGAAAATCCGATATCCACATGTAAAACGAAAATCAAACCTTTAGAAGACAGTAACTACAAATGTCCTCCCAAACCCGACGAAGAAGCATCTCGCATCCGCTGCAAAACCTACTTGAATCCTGCTTTCAACGTTGCCAATAATCTTCAAACATACCAAGTTCACACATTCTATCTGGATGGTGTTAATTATTTTTTCGCCGATCCGAGCGAACTTGATAAGTCCGATATTTCATCACTTGACGCGAGTGGTGTATTCCGTCATATCTACATGTTTTGTTGTCTTCATTATCGTGAGCAACGAGCAGCAGTCAAAATTCGTCATCAACTTGCACGTAATCTAATCATTCAGACATATAATAAAAAACCGGCATTTATACGTACATTGTTTTCGCACACAGTCGAGGGTGAAGCATTACGAACGGCGGTGCGTGCAATGCATCGAAACTTATACAGTTCGGGACTATTTCGACGAAAGCGTCGTGCATGTTACTTGAGCACAGGCAAAGATTTTATTAGTGTCATGGAGAAAGATGGGGCCGTGATACCGGATGACGAACAATGTCGCAAAAACCAAGAATCACAAGATAAGGAGATACTAGAACGAAAACAGATGGCATTTCATTCAAGTCCGGAGTTTACGTATACTCTATTACCCGATGGAGTACTTCATATTTCACGAGCAGATACCTTACTGCGTAATGTGGTATCCAAACATGTTTTACAAGCGTCATGTGAACCAGAAGTGATCTATGCAGGAACGTGTCGATTCGAAAGGAGAGATGAAGAAGAAGACATTGTGTTTGTGATCGATAATGATTCGGGAACATATGCACCGAAAAACGATAGAGATGAATTAGCACGACTGAAAAATTTACTAGAGTGGAATTTTCGTGGATTAAAAGTGGATGCCAAGACATATGTGCCACCTGGAATGGATGATGATGCTGATAAACAAAAGGATACTTGAAATATGGTGCTATCACATGTCAGAAATGTATATTTTTTTTTGTGTTTTAAATCGTCTAAGTATACCACCTGCAAAATTCTATTGCATTCTGTCATTTACGATATTTTTTATAATTTCATTAAAACTAAATCGGTAAAAATGGAAAGTAACACCTGGTTCATAAAGAATCGGTTCTCTTAGATTTTCTTTCTTTATTAAAAGAACTACTGGATACAGTGGTACCAAAACCCCAACAAGATCCACAATATAATTCAGGATTAAATATTCAAAATTACCACAAAAACACTTGAAAAAGCAAAAACGTTATCTATTTATCCATACATATGTTATTCAAGCTACTATACAATTCTACACTCATACCATTCTTTATCAAGTATGGCTTAATATATCTCGTGATTCAGGATTAAACTCAAACAAATTATGAATTGTGCAATAATAATAACATCTCAAGTTGTTTAGTTTTCTGGTAGATGAGAAAACGACTGTTTTCGGGGGAAAACTTCAAAAATATATCAGATGGCTTTTTATGCGAAACGTCTCAATTATTCTCAAAATTCATGATTTTCGACAATGTGGGATAAGCAGGACTAATAGAAGAATTGTTCCCAGTCAACAGTTATGACTGCAATAATTGTTCTCAATAAAAGACGAGTCTTCCTACTGTTGTGTTATTTGAAAAGTAGTAAACTGTTTGGATATTGTATATGCAATACGAAGACATTTTACATTTTCAGAAGATTCTCGCCCTTCTGCAGCTTCTCTAGATTGTATCTTGCACGTTCTCTCTAATAACATGTTTGATCTCACTTCCTGACTCAGCAGACTACTCTAGATCCTTTAGCTGCTGATTTTGTTCCTTTTGGTAGTCCACTTCTTTTGATTTCGCATAATATTCAGAGTCTCCCAAAACATTTTGAAGCTGTAGAGCAGTTGTTGAACCACCAGCAACCTGTGGCTCTATGTCTTCAAGAGACGTTTTTTTCTGCGGATATTCTAGATGCGGACGTTTCGATACCAAATTACGCACTGTATCGCTGTGACAATAAGCGGAAGAGGGGAGGCGTTGCAACTTATGTGAGAAGTGATGTCAAATACTTCTTTCTTGCATCATCGTCTGACACAGAGTCTATTCTTCTTTCTCTAACTCTCAATACACGTGTTTTCTATCTACGTAATACTTACCGTCGTCCTCGAAGATCCCTGGTATTCTTTGTTGATCTTCAGAATTTTCTGTTATCGCATATAAAGAAAGATTCTTCTATGATACTCGCAGAAGATTTCAATGTCAAAACTGTCAAAAAAATAACATGCACAGCTCTTTCTTCTCTCTTAGATGTTTTTGACTTAACAAACGCCTTTTCTGTTCCAACTACAGTCAAAAATACTTTTATTGATAATATTTTCTTTTCGACATGTCTTCATCTTCCGAATAGTTCGACTTCCAGTGCGCTGGGTAAATCACCTCATTGGGTTCTTTCGTGCTCGTTTCCATATATTCAGGTTCCTATAAGTTCTACTCGTCAAGTTCATGACTTTGTCAATGTTGACATGTCAAATCTCTCACGAAAGCTGTTTTCTATTAGCCCAGATTCTTTCATTCTAAAGTACCAAATGCTGCTTTACAACTTTGGTTAGATCATTGACCATTTCAGTCATAGAGGAATGTGTCCCGACTAAGAACATACCACTTGTTAAAAAGCGTTCTTTTCGACTTTCTCGTCAAACGCGTTTCCTAAATCAGAAAAAAGGACCTATGTTCCGAAAATCAAAAAGTAAACATCACCCGTGCCATCTTTATAAAATTTACAAGCAATTCCGTAATCTTTCTATTTAATCGTTGCGTAAAGATAAAAATGATTTCTTTCAGGCTATAATGAATACTTTTTCGAATAGTAAGCGTTTCTGGTCCTTTCTTAACAAATATCGCTCAACAGAATGTGATCTTAGTGCTGTTCTGCGTAACAATTCATCTACAGCAACAGACAATCAGTCTAAAGCTCAACTTTTATCAGACCATTTTCAAACTACATTTTGTAATATTTCAGGACCATTCCCGGCCGCGCCAATGGTGACTTCTACTATACTTCTCTCTGAGATTTCTTTTGATGTGTCCGATGTTTATTCTTCTATTTCAAAACTAAAAAACCAAAATTTTGTAGGTGTTGATCAAATAAGTGTTAGATTTCTAAAACTTTGTGCTGACATTCTTGCACCACTGTTACATCATATTTTTTCTATTTCCTTAAAGCCAGGGGTTTTTCCTCATCTTTGGAAACAGGCAATAATTCGAGCTATTCATAAAAAGGAAAGTAAATTTTTTGTTAAAAATTATCGGCCCATTTCGCTTATTTCTAACGTGTGTAAAGTTTTCGAAAAAATTGTCCACAAACAACTTTTCTCTTTCTTAACGTTGACGAACTTCTTTTCTCCTAATCAATTTGGGTTTCATCCAAATGCATCGACGGAAGATGCGCTACTTTTCGTCACAGATACGATCTATAAGTGTTTAAATAATCGCCAAAAAGTAGTTGACATTTCTTTCGACTTCGGAAAAGCAACTTTTATAACTTATCTGTCTTTTCTTGTGCCCTATCAACAAAATGTCATAAAATGTACCATCCCTCTTCGGTGCCGTATATGAGTCTGTTGTATAAGTTTATATTTCAAATGTAACTTGTTCTTTTTAGTATTTCTTTATTTGTTCACTATTCTCGGTGTTGCATTAGCATAAGCTAGCCTTTCTTTGCAACCACCATGCTTGCAAAAATAAAAATTCAGTCCAGTTCAGTTCAGTTCAAGAGTTTAGAATACCTAGGTTAGACAATGTTATATTGAATTTTGCTAAAAATACCGTTAGCACTACGATTTGCAAAGTTAAAAAATTTGTAGCAGGGCAACAACTTTGTCTTTGCCAGGTGCAAAAGTAATATTTACAATCTTAACTTGTTGAGGTAAAACAAGCAAGAGTTGAGATTGAGTATAAGAAACCGTGTGATTTTTTGTATTTAATGCGAATAGAGTGAAAATTGAGTATGATAGTGTTGAGAAGATATCGAAGTCGTTGTATACACAATACGTTGATTTTCAGTAGAAATGTCTGACTAATGTATAATAATAAAGAAATAGAACTTTCCTTATTGCATGTCTAGGTTATTCGTTTCTAAACTTCTGACTATTCTACTTGCAGCTTGTAAACATACGATTTTTTATAGGTGGAACAGTTGCTGATATACACCGAATGGTTAGCACTAGCATAAGAAAATTCGAAAGGTTCGGAGTTTGGCGGTACATATACTATGAACATTTAGTAAAGAAATAGATAGTACATTTTCATCATCTACAGCAGTCATCCACAAAAGTTTCAAAACTTGAAAACAATATGGCAGACCAACCGCGAGTTTTTAGGTTTTTTAAGATTTTAGTCATCAAAATGTTACTCAAGAACAAAACTAAGATGATATTTGGAATCAAGGTCAAAAACTGCATCAGATTATATGCCTTTGAAAGGTTGTAGAGAAATGAAAAATTTCGACATTTTTTCGGTTTCTTATGTTCAGATTATGATTATGATGAGTTTTGGACAGATGGGAACGGTAAAAGTTGATGGGCCAATTTCAAGTCTTATGCGGACTAGTCCTTTACAACAGCATAATAGATAATGACCAAACCGGAAGTTTTGTGAGCTTTTTCATTTTCAGTTGGCCTTCACAAATATTGTTGGTGATTTTAACAAGCTGAATCGTTTAGTGCATGAGAAAAAACAAGTTCGTACGTACAGAAAAATGATTCATCTTAATTAAGTATTTAAGAAGTTATTTTAAATACTTAATCAGATCTCTAACGGATGACATCAATCTAAAGATATTTTGAAGGGGAGGAAGTTTTTGAAGGATATGTGTTTTTCTGAGATTAACTATGTCAAGCTGAAAAACCTCATTTCAACTGTCAAATTGTTCGTCTGATCTTTCTCGTAATAAAACGTTTTGGTTTGAATGCTCAAATTCATAATGAGACCTATTTGAGCAGGCTTCTATGCACTAGGCGACCGTACAGTCATTTCGGAGGAGATCCTAAATAGAAAGATTACGTTTAAGATGCGATATGACTGAATCGAATATAAAGAAGTTGTGATATTGAGATGCTAGGGTGAAGAAGATCTGTATCTCATGAGTCTTCATATCGATCTGTAGCTGTTCCGATTATCGCTTTAGATTTGTATGGAAAATCCGTTATCCACATGTAAAACGAAAATCAAACCTTTAGAAGACGGTAACTACAAATGTCCTCCCAAACCCGACGAAGAAGCATCTCGCATCCGCTGCAAAACCTACTTGAATCCTGCTTTCAACGTTGCCAATAATCTTCAAACGTACCAAGTTCACACATTCTATCTGGATGGTGTTAATTATTACAGCTTCAAAATGTTTTGGGAGACGCTGAATATTATGCGAAATCAAAAGAAATGGACTACCAAAAGGAACATAATCAGCAGCCAAAGGATCTAGAGTAGTCTGTTGAGTCAGGAAAAAACGCATAAAAAGCCATCTGATATATTTTTGGAGTTTTCCCCCGAAAAACAGTCGTTTTCTCATCTACCAGAAAACTAAACAACTTGACATGTTTTTATTATTGCACAATTCATAATTTGTTTGAGTTTAATGCTAAATCGCGAGATATATTAAGCCATACTTGATAAAGAATATGTGATACTTTTTTTGTTTGTTTTTCAAGTGAAAAACAGAAGACAGCACGGTGTGGCTGATTCCTGATCTCATCCAGCATAAAAATAGAGTCCAGAGCAGTACGAACGGAATAAAAAATCTTAGGATTTTTAAGACGTGGAATTTTGGACAGTAAATCGGCAAAATCACCTTGAATAAGGAGGAGCATTTTCGCTCTAAAATCGTGCTGTCTATTTCTAATCATACTGACTTTTCTTTAAACCTGTTAGATTGCAATAAGCAGCATCATTCAAAGAAGAGAGCTCGTCAAACTCATTT